TGTCGGTATCCGTAATGGTCGCAGTCGCCACACCACCTCCGGACTTTGAAGATAACAAGACAACATTGTTCGTCAGAATCATTGTTTTGAAGAGAGCACTGTTGTGATTGGTATTACGGTTGCCCAGCGTTCGATAGATGCCAACGAGCTGCACTCGGTCGCCGGGCTTCACACTGTCGACGAGGTCGTCGTCTAGAATTGCATCAACTCCGCGGGGGAGCTGCCCTGCTGGTGCTCGCTCGGGCATTTCCTGGATGGAGATGGTCTGGTGGTCTCGGTATGTGCAAAAGCCATACTCAGTGATAAGCGGGTTGCCGTCGTCGTCCTCGCGAGGGTAGACGCTTGAAGTGGTAACACCGTTGGTCATGGTCTGATCCTGGTACTCGCGAAAATGAAACATGTCTTTTTTCTCATTGTAGTGAACACTCTTCACGACCTTGGGGCGGATGAGAGAACATCGAGTGACAATACCCTCGATAGAGACCATGTAGTTGAGGAGATGAGACGACAATGTACGGGGATTGCAAGCGTTCAAGCCAAAGCTGCCAGCCCAAGCACAGTAATAAATTGTGTCTTTTGCGGTCTGGTCAGGCCTTGCCTGTGGAATGGTTTGGACGATGTTTTTCAGGGCTTGATCAAAAGCCAGAGTGAAATCGAAGGGCTGCTGTAAGAGGCCCTGTGCGAGGTCCGGGCTGTGGTTGCGCACATGATCGAGATTAACGGTCAATCGACGCTGGTTCTTCTGTAGCATAAGAATAATATCGGATCGATAACTTCGGACTTGAGGATCATCTGCAGAAAAGAGTTAGCCAGGCACAACGATCCATCTTTTTGGAGAACGGGCGGTGGACATACTGGGATCAAGGAATTCCTCCGCTTGACGTATGCGATCGCGCACGCCTTCATCTTGAAGCATGAAAGAATCCATGTCTGTGGTTCCTTATATTGTCGTTTCAATGAGCGACTTGGTCAAAAGTGATGCCGATATGGAACCTGGTTAAGATACTGAACGATAATCAGATCGAGGGGTGAAAGTAAACCAGGCGGGGCGTTGCTAGGGGGCTGCTCGAAATTGCTGGCCCTGCCCGCGCTCCCTCTAAAGAACGCGTCTCTCTCGCGTAAAGTGGTAGCTAGAGCTGGCCTCTAGAGGTGGCTGATGTGTGGCTACACTGGACCCTATTTCGTCAGGGAGCTAGTCCAGATTCCGTAATGACCTACCTAGGCCCTGGTCCTTAAGAGGGCGGTACTCTGTACGCCTTAAGGTAGGTATGCTGGGATCTCCATGATCCTCCACGCGGAGTATTCATAGTTAACTCTCAACCTTAATGATCTTTCCCCTACGACGCCTTTCCTATACCCACACATAAGCCACCCCACTACCTGAACGGATGCTATTCAACGGTGTTCGTACACAATGTCGGTCGGACTTTCTGGCAACGCGCATACCGCTCTAGATGAAGAAGCAAGGGCTGAGGTTGACGTTCTCAATTCGCGGCTCGAAAAGACGACGCAGTTGACCAAGAAGATTCAATCATGCCTCAACAGACTCGAGTCGACAGGGAAGAGTGTTCAAGATGTTGCAGGACCTCTGAATGGAGAGACCAGGCGACTGCAGATATTGGGAAATAGTAAGAAACAGACTCATGCCCAGCCAATGCTGATAACTAACCGTTGGGTAGATGTTGATTCAGTCCTGGCCGCTATCGACCGATTGCGCCAACCTGCAGATAGCAAAAATGACGAAGAGCAGATCATTCGAGTCGGTCCCGAGAAGGCCGGCCTCTCCAATTACCTGGCTTCTATCAAACGTCTAGGCAAGGCCTTGAACGAGATGAAAGCCTCCAACTTGCGCGCCAACCAACAAACGATGGCCGATCTAACACGACTCATCAAGTCAGGCAATAGTCAGCTAGAATCCCATTTCGAAACTCTGCTGCGCGCTGAGACTCCTCGATCCGTCGAGCCCTTGCACTTTATCACAAAAGACAAGCCTTTCCCAACACTACCCCAGGACAAAATAGCCCGGCTCGGTCTGGTGTATTCATATGTCATCGAGAGTCACCACAGCGGATCCTCTGAGCTCGCCCATATATATGCAGAGGTACGCGGCCCATACCTCTCAACATCTCTGGCCAACCTTGCTGCCGCAAGTGTCAACACCGCCAAGAAGAAGAGCCCAGATGCCGTCTACCGTGCGGGGACCAACGGTATAGGGACCTACTCGCAAGCTATGGAGGGCCTTTTTGTCTCCGAATATGACAATGTGTGCAGTGTCTTCTCGCGTGAGGATTGGGGTGTGGTCTTCCAGTCAACTTGCCAGGCAGCGATGGCTGAGCTTGCCCGAACGTTGCGTGAACTCAATGCTCATATCAAAAATCACCTCAACACCGACTGTTATCTGGCATATGAAATCACCGAGATCATCTCGGCTCTCTCAGGCAAGCTCGAAACACGCACCGGAGAATTGAAAGGGGCACTCGCTGCAGCCCTGAAGCCTGTTCGAGAGACTGCCAAATCGTCCCTTGCGGAGCTCCTTGATGAGACCAGGCGCAAGATCAGCATGCTACAGATGTTACCCTCTGATGGCGCCCCTATATCCCTCGTCTCGGAGACAATGCAGCGCCTTCAGACGATGGTACACTTTCTACGCCCCATCTCGAGCATGATGATATCATTAGGGGACGGCGGATGGAACTCCAACGCGGCAGCCAGCGGACGCTCGACCGATGCAATCCCTAGTCTAGCATCCTTCGATATAGGAGCGGATGGTAAAGAAATCTTTTCGCACTACTGCACTGATACCATCGAAATGCTCCTCTCTGGTTTGGACCAGAAGTCGCGCGTGCTCATGAAGAGCAGAGCTGTTGCTGGGGTATTTCTGGCCAATAGCGTTGTCATCATTGGAAGAATGGTTCAGGGCTCAGAACTTAGCGGACTGCTTGAGAACAAACTTGATATTCTCGAGCAATGGCGTAAAAAGGCAACGGCAGCTTATACGGATGTTTGCAAAGACCTTTCCGTCCACCTGTTCGACACTGTACATACCAATCGTGCACATCGTCCAACTTCTGGACCTGTCGACTCTACTTCGATCGTCAAGGGGCTGGGAAGCAAAGACAAAGACCGGATCAAAGAGAAGTTCACGCAATTCAATAGCGCCTTTGACGACATGGTTTCTCGACACAAATCATACAGCATGGAGCGAGAAGTTCGGCGAATGTTTGGGGAGGACATTCGCCAGAAATTACAGCCTCTCTACGAACGGTTTTGGGACCGGTATCATGAAATCGACAAGGGCAAGGGCAAGTACGTCAAATATGATAAGACTTCCATTGCCGCTGTATTTTCCAGTTTGGCTTCCTGAGCATAGGGCAAAGGGGGTAATTGTGAGCCTAGACCTTTAGGCACTATGGACGAGGACGTGCCGATGAGGGATGACACGACGCATTCTGCCGATCTACGGCAGCAGTTCCGCTCATGGTTCAAGGATGCTTATCCCAGATGATTATCACCAATATCTTGTCACCATCTTGGTTCACCCAACCAACCGGTCTCCCCGACCTTGTCCGAGGCACAGTGTATGAAACCTAAAGGATTTATTCACCTGCTATGCCATCTCCCCTCTCATATATTGCTATGCTCAATCCAACTTCAACTCCTAGTCATCTCAAAGATCTTGGGTAGCCATGCGAATCAGGAGTCGAGCAAAAGTGATTTGAGAACATGAACGCAACCAAAAACATTGTTCAGTCCTCCGGCCCATTTGTTGAGGCTGCAGAGGCGGCTGGCGAGTCGCAGAGCCATCAGGAGGGACACCTGGGACATGTGCCGCAGTAGTCGTGAGTTCCGAGATCGCTCGCTTTGCAACAGGCAGTACAACAACTGTTGACAGGCACCTGAGATTCGACAACGGCCATGGTGAAGGTGCTGAGGAAGTCTTTGAGAGGTTTGTGTAAGTCACCTAGCTCGTGTGGGGAAGACGGTGTTATTCAAGTTGAGATGAAGTGCTTTTTGCTTCAAAGGCCTGAAGGAGAACCGATCAACGGTTCCAGAAGCTTTATACTCTGTCCATCCTCAAGGTTCTGAGACAGCAATGCCACGATGGTCTTATCCGTGGACCCGAAAGTGAGGCTGATGCTATTTCAATTCGAATCGAGGTGGTCTTCGTATGTGGGAGGGACCGGAGATGTGTGCAGGGGGGCTTTACTGCCTTCTTTCTACGGATGGATTGAAACATGAAACAGTCCCACCCCCCACGTACCTAGCGCGTCATCATGCACAGTTTTATGTACTTGTATGCTTCCTTCACCACATGCCACGGCGAGAATGAGAGCAACCCTTCAACTGCCAGCCATAGAGGTCATCGTCATCATGCATGTGATGCAACTGTTAGTCCGGTCTCCTGGAATTTGGCGCCACGCCAGTTGGGACTTGAATCCCGGTTCCCAGTAGATGGCAGCTGTCATCTGGCAACCGACCCTTTTGGAGAGCCCACAAGTGAGTGAGTGGGCTGGCATTTTCCTTCACACTGCTTGCCCGATATCTTGCGCTTGCTATATGTCTTGGGCCTCAGAGGCTCCCGCATTGGAAATTACCTGGCCTCGCAAAGGCGACGCTGAGGCTTATTCTCGAGTTTATTGGGTGATAGTAACCGATTGTCGCACACTCACGATGCTTAATGCCCTCCCTACAATGACAGGATACCACTCTCGGGCCTCGCTCGGGTGTCACCATGCATGCAGTGGTGCCCGAAACTTGATACGAGCAAGTTGTTTGTCGCCATTCAACACAACATGTATATACATAATCTGAGAAGTAATTTACTTAATCTAAGTTAGCACATGCACATGCATCATATCCATCTGTCTCGCAGCACACCGAATTTACTTCACACGCGCTAGTCCGCTTCTCTGTCAGACCAGATCCATGTTCCTGTGCCGATCTCTGATGTGATTTGAGGACCCTTAATTCGATTATGACAAGTCATGCACAGGCAAACTTCACCTATCAATCTTGACACCACTGCCAAAGATCTCGTCGATTCGCGTCCGTCGCTCCCACACAATGGCATTGTCCTCCCTCCGTTTGAAGTAAAGTATGCGGTGCTGCGGGATAAATTCCTCATCAGTCTGCTCCGTCTTCCAATGTTCCACTGCCCTCTCACGAGCTCCGAGAAAGCGGTCTTCGTAGCCAATGATGTAGTCGCCTGAATCGAAGTTGGGGTCCCAGCGAAGCCGGTTGAGCACATCAGCAGCTGTGCGAAACTTGCCCAGCCCTGGTGTCTTGCCCACAATCGCTGCTCGGGATCCAGGCCCTGTGCTCTTATGTCCTTTTGATTCCTCCTCAGCATCGTCGACATCTTGCTCTTCTTCAAGCTCTTCATCGGATCCGTCATCATCTGTCTCACCCCCATACACTCCCCACAGACTCTGATCAACTTCCAATGAGCCAAGATCCTGAGCCTTTGCGACAGTTGCACTCATCCAACAGAACTGGGAGTCATAGTACTTCTCGTCTCGGCGAATTCTCGCTTCAAATTCTTGTAGCACTGTCTGCATGGCCATACCCACCTCCTTAGCATCTTCTTTGTTTGAGTCATCGTCCCATACAAGACCAATGAGGTAACAACCATGATACTCAGCGCCAGATGTCTCTGCTCCAGCGGACACATCCAAGAACCGAGATGGCCAAATGCGTGCGAGAAGATGCTTCAGCTTCCTGTTTATATCTAGACAATGTCAATATGATACATTCTGCCAAAGGAGAGAAACATCCCTTACCAACCAGTAGCATAACGCAGCGCGATTCAAGCCAGCCGATGAAACGACCACTCTTTTCCTGCGACGGGCCCCAGTAATGTGCATCAATCTTGACGTATGTTTTGAATGCATGCAAAAACTCTGTAGATGCCGGGGCTTGAGCTGATCCTAGAGCTGTCTCGGGTTCAATACCGAGTAGCTTACCCCAGGTACAGTCATCATCTGATAGCAATTTTTTGGCACGATCAAACTCGGAAGAAATGGTAGCCACTGTTGGGATAGACGCGATAGGAGCAGTGTTGAGTGCTGGGCCATGCCAACCGATCAGGCAAAGGGGTTCCCGGAATGTTCGGTTATATCTCAATTCTTTGTGAAAGAACGAATCAAAGACCATCGAGTTCTTCCAGTCGAATTCCGAGTAATGATGAAAGAATGTGACGACAATGCCGGCTGGGGTTACAGTTTCATTCTCGTAGGCCAGTGTTTTACAGACGGGAGCAAGGAGAACGCTTATGTGAATACCACCGAGGAATCCAAACTTTGCCGAATAAATGCCTCGCGCCTGGGCCCAGGATTTGATGAACAAGTGCGCCATTCGATACTGTACCATATCTGGAAGTGAGCGGCGAAGGTAGAACAGATCACGGACAGGCTTAAGCTTAGCAAGTGCCTGGAAAGATAAAGCAAACGCTGGGTCGCTGGCTGGGCGCTTCATAACCTCAGGCCACCTACATCTGAGAGTTAGCAGTTTCCTCTTCGAATACAGGCATGGTTCAATAATACCTTTCAGCTATCGATGCAGCTGCACAATACTGGAGATCGACTTTGATGCCATTGACTTCGAGCTCCAGCATGTTACCTGAATTGGCCTTGACGCGTCGCAAGATTCTCATGCCCAAGGTCGTTGCCCGCTTCAACCTTTGAACAGCCAATGCAAAGAATGTCTTTGAGCTGAACGGCCCAATGCATAGGCAGTCGATATCAGAAGAACTTGTCCAGACGCCGAGGCCATAAGAGCCAACTGGGACCACAATAAATGGAGGTCCAGATCGGGGATCATTCTCTGCAATCGAGGACGTAGCATCTTTAAGAACCATTTCAAGGGCCTTGATCGCTTCAACCCGGTTGGTCCTCTCCTGCTCAGTCGGCAAACATCCATGACCTTCCAAGAAGCCCTCCAAGCCTTCGCTGTTAGCCAAGCCAGGAGGAGGCTGTCGAAGTGCAATTTCCATCTCAGGGACACAAGATCGAGATATGTCAGAAGGTGACGACTTTACCAGAAGGCATCTTATGCCCCAGTGATCACTGGCGTATGTGGGAACACCCTGCTCCGGTGAATCGAAGGTTGTCTGACCAAAAGTATTGAAACCGTGCGGGTTATAGTAGCCATTTGCCTTGACCAGGATCTTGTCGTATCTCTGCGGTCTGTTGTTCAGCCCATTTCCAACGAGATTAGATGCCAGCGTGTTTGTCAGTGGGTCGAAAGTAGCCCCTTGTTCTCCCTGGAAGGAGTCTAAGACGTTCCTCTTCTCGTTGGCTATGTCTGAAGATTCGCCTGACTCGAGTCTCGTTGCCAGCCAAGTATCTAAGAAGCCAAAATCTGAGATAGCCCGGTCGATATCTCTCAACTGACGAACAGTTTGAGCAGAAATATCATTCTTTTTCTTGGCAGCATCTATGGTGTAAGCTGAAGTCGCAAGATTGAAGTCTCCAGCAAGAATGCATGGATGTTGCAGATAGGTGGCAGACAGATAATCGAGCATCTTCTGGACTTCTTTCCTTTTGGTGGCGACGGCGCCGTCAGTAAGTCCTTGGCTCAGATGACACGCCACAAGTATCCAAGGTCTGAATTTCCCATCGTCAGCATCTCGTGTACCGATGCCTGGAAACCGGGCCACGGTGCAGCCTTTGTGCTTCCTATGGAATGGGAGATAACGCCATTCAAACTCAAATCTACTCAAGACGACAGTATTGAGGAGGCTAGGTAGCGGCCCAATACCGGACTGGCCTGGGGGGCCATGAGTGATGAAAGGATAGTGACTGCGTATATCCTTGTTGGCGAGGAGGTCAGGAAGAAAATGGTCTGTGACTTCTTGGAGAACAACAATATCGGCAGCAGCACGAGCTGAGAGCAGATTTTCCACCAGAGCTGGATGCCGATATGATTGAGGAGGCCACTCAAACTCTGCCAACACATTGTAAGAAGCAACAACCAACTGTTCAAGGACGACCTTGCTAGTACCCGTCGACCCAGCCGTTTCCCAGGCCCCTGAAGACTGGATCGACTGATAGCATGGCTGGAAGGCAATAGTAGACATTTTGTCTATATGATCATTGAAACTTTGAGGCGGTGTTATCCGACGGAAGCTTCCCGATTCAAGATCCAGAGTCCCCCAAAGCCTCATAGGTCGTGGTCCGCTTCCCCCTTGCGCCAGTGCACCATCGCGAATAAGAATAGCAACTTCTTTCACTTCCCATTCTATCGGTGCCAAGAGGCGGGCCTTTTCGAGGAGAAAATGGTGGGGGGCAGCTGAGGCGTCTTCACTTTGACCGATGGTCATATGAGGAACGAAGCGTTCATTTTGAGCTCCAGGTGAACGACAAAGAGCACTGCAGATTATATCCCTGATCTTTAAGAGCTCGGTTGTAGTAGATCCTGAGTTCGAACCCAGAAAGATAGTGTTGCGGCTTTTATGTTCGAAACAATCAGCAACATTGAGCGCAAGATGATGCCGATCTTGCAGCACGAGCCCTTCAAGTGCTTGTGCTGCACTCCCTAGCACTTCAGGGTGGATGAATGGGTAGATAAGATTGACGTGGGGGGGCCACGCAGAATACGCCTTATCATAAAGACTTCTCAGGCGATCCACTGATGACCAAAGTTCACGAGGAGGGATCACACATAGGGCAGTCTCATACGAGTCGAACCCATACAGTGATGTTTGTTCTGTCTTCTCCATCACTTTTGTAAGATTCTCCTCCAGATTTGGGGTATATATGAGCCGAATGATGATGATATGTGAACTAGAAGCGCTATGCCTCAAACAAGATAGGCTGGGTCTGAAGTGTAGTGGGGGATCCTGCTAACGTCGCAGGGGTAACATAAGGTAGAGAGGATCGACGGAGGGGTCGTCGTCTTGCTTATCCGTATTGTTGTATCAATGAAGATGAAGTTGCTAACAAAAAGAAGGCTTACCTTACTTCTTTAATGCTTCATCTTCCCTTCACAAGGCTGACAGCTAATACAGAGGTATATGGCCACTGACTCATAAATTTCAGGCAAATTGCGGCCTGTCTGCCAGTGCTACTCTGGGATCGTCAGGTTCAAACTGACCTGCGGCGGAGCAAGCCTGCGGTGTGACTCACTGTGAGTTATGCGTGAGTATGAAGAATATCAAACTGGTCAATTGAAGACATCTTCAGCTGGCTATAGAACTTGCCCGGGTCGATAGTAAGTAAAAAGGTACTATATCATCAGCATTACATTTGTCGTTGTTATGAGTCACTTATTAATATCATATATCAAAATACTACAACATTAAAAAGGGCCTATGCTGTAGCCCTTGGAGCAGTCGGCCGTTCACTTGACGAACACCTCAGTGAGATTCCGTAATACGTAGCGCATTATCCCATGTTCTCCGGCCCCCAATCAATAATTCCTGTTTCATGCCCCTTGCCTTCCATTAGAGCTTCAAGTTTGTCTTCGACTGTGACCCAACCGTGACGCTTCTGTGAGATAGCATACTTGATTGGATCCCTCCACTCTCTCCACCAAGTTTCCTCACTCTGAACAATACACCTTCTGTCAGGCTCCCCGTTCTTCGCTGTAGCAAATGGCCAGACGGCTTTGGCCACTTCGTATTTGTGTTTGCCAGAGAACAGGCTGGTCACACTAGTGAAGAACTGATTGACTTTGTCCGGGTTCTGTATCACGACACGGCTATGGGTAACCACGAAGCTGACATCAACTACGCCACGGTAGTTGAGTGCTGCCACGAGGCTGCGGAATTGTCCTTCAAGCCATGCTGTATCGAGATTTGTGACCACTCGTTCGAGCGTAAAGAGTTTGACAGAAGCAGGATCCTGAACGAAACGGCGGCACCATTCATCCAACCCGGCATCGCTGACTTCGGGAAGGACATCGGGTTTGAGACCTCCACGGTAAGCTAGCTCCCCATCGCCAACACATCGAATATAGTCTAAACGCTGGTTATCATCATCCGGGACTAGTAGGCTCATAAGGTTAAGTTTGATGTCAAAGTCGACTTTGCGCCCCCGACTACCCCGGATGTGAATCTGGGGCTTGGGAGGCACCGAGGCTTGTGCGCGGATGAGAGCTATAAGCGCCTCAGGCTTGGCCGATAGATATTCCGCACGCGATGAGAGAGTCTTATAGTCGTTGGAGAGTTTGAAGAGAGGGGGAGAGTAAAGACGGTAATCAACTCGCGGTAGTCCAGGAAAGCGTGCTGGGCTTTTATGGGCGGTTGTGGGTTGTGAAGCCGGAGCGGAAACAGCACTTGATGGGATAGAAGGCCCAGAATAAGGCGGCAGTGTTACATGATGCTCTGGAGTCTCACCAGTCAAGACTGCGACGGGCGACGATGGCTCAGGCTCGGTGGATTCTGCGGACTTTTCCATGGATGTGTAGTATGTAGGTCGACAAGGAGATTAAAGATAAGAGATCTTGGTTAGTAGGTCGTAAAAGTAATGCCCTTCAGGTAAGTGAAGATGTATGGGATGTTTTGATCAACTTTGGACAGTAATCATGAAGATATCAATCTTGCTATATGACATTTGAGAATCATTAAACAAAAGTTGCCCCGTATTACTTTGGAAGTTAGGTATACCTAAACTTATATGGTTCTTACCTGCCTAAAATACCAACCAACTGTCTACCTTATCGAGGCGCCGGGCGCCACGTCTCAGCCTTGCCCCACTAAGTAAGGTCGTCAATCAACCGGGCTGGCCAGAGCCTGAGTCTCGTTGTGAACACATAGCTCCATCCCTAGCTTTGGTTGCTATCCAGCGTCCAGCATCTGCATTTCTTCCACAGGGCAAGCCAACTGCCATACTCAGCTTATACCTGCAACTCCTATAATAAATTCTTCAACGCTCCGCCCAGCGCCTGCTATTTAGCCACCCAACCATGGATTACGAGACGCTCAAGGAGCAATGGAGCGAGGTCGAGGACCGCGATGGTGTCCGTCTGAGCTGGAATGTGTTTCCCAGCTCCCGTATGGTATGTTCACAGCTTCATAACGCTCCATCTTGAGCTCACGTTACATAGGAAGCCTCTAGACTCGTCGTGCCTATCGGCGCTCTCTATACCCCGTTAAAGGAGAAGCCCGATACTCCTCTCCTCCATTTCGAGCCCGTTACCTGCAAACAGCCCTGTCGCTCTGTATTGAACCCGTTCTGGTATGATGCCTTTTGAAACGATTGTTCTAGTTTCATGAGCTGACCTAGTACTGAAGTCAAGTCGATGTTCGTGCCAGAGTTTGGATCTGTCCTTTCTGCCTCTCGAGAAATCAGCTTCCACCTCACTACAAGGACATAACTGCAAACGCTATCCCCCCCGAACTTCACCCTGCGAACACCACGATAGAATATCGCCTCTCACGACCTGCGCCTGCTCCCCCGATCTTTCTCTATGTCGTCGATATGTGCCAGGAGGCCGACAGCCTCGCCTCTCTGAAAGAATCGCTTGTGATGAGTCTGAGTCTGCTTCCCGAGAACGCCCTTGTTGGCCTCATCACTTATGGCACAATGGTATACCATTCCTTTTTCCACCACTGAGACGCAATAACACTAATACCTGTACAGGCTCATGTCCACGAGATTGGCTACGAGGAATGCGCCAAGTCCTATGTTTTCCGAGGTAGCAAGGAATATGCTGCGAAACAAGTCCAGGAGATGCTTGGTCTGTCATCCTCCGGCGTACGACCCGGCATGCAACCTCAGCCTGGTCGCCCATTCCCCGCCGGCCCGGCATCTCGCTTCCTCCTCCCTGTCCAGCAGGCCGAGTTCCAGCTGACCAAAGCTCTCGAATCCCTCCAAAAGGATCCCTGGCCAGTTGCGAATGACAGACGTAACCTTCGATGCACCGGAGTCGCCCTCAGCGTTGCCGTCGGTCTTTTGGAGTCATCTTTCCAGAATGCAGGTGGGCGCATCATGCTATTTGCCGGAGGCCCTGCTACTGAAGGCCCTGGCATGGTCGTGGGACCCGAGTTGAGAGAGCCTATACGATCCCACCATGATATTGATCGAGACAACGTTAAGTATTACAAAAAGGCTCTGAAGGTGTGTCATTCAGTACTTCCACTCTTTTGAACTCACTCTGATCGTCTCATTATAGTTTTACGAAAACTTGGCCAAGCGAACGGCGCACAATGGTCACATCGTTGACATTTTTGCTGGTTGTCTGGATCAGGTCGGTCTCCTCGAAATGAAGGGCCTATGCAATTCAACCGGTGGTCATATGATTTTGACTGATAGCTTCACTTCTTCCATGTTCAAGCAATCCTTTGTGCGAATCTTTGAGAAGGATGGCGATGATAATCTACTCATGGGCTTCAACGCAGTGTTGGAGGTTCTGACCACAAAGGAACTGAAGGTCACAGGTCTCATTGGACACGCAGTCTCTCTCAACAAGAAGTCGATCTCTGTGGGCGAGACTGAATGTGGGATTGGCAACACATGTTCTTGGAAGATGTGCGGTATCGACCCCAAATCGAGCTACGGTATCTACTTTGAGATTGCCGGCCAAGGTCCTGCCACACATCAACAAGCACCGCAGAAGGGCATGATGCAGTTCCTTACGTACTATCAGCACTCCTCGGGCCAGTTCCACCTCCGCGTCACGACTGTCGCCCGCAACCTTAGTAGCCCTGCTGGGGACCCAGCAATCGCGCAGTCCTTCGACCAAGAGGCCGCCGCTGTCCTTATGTCACGAATTGCTGTGTTCAAGGCCGAGGTCGATGATGGCCCTGATGTCCTACGCTGGGTTGACAGAATGTTGATTCGTCTATGCTCCAGATTCGCGGACTACAGGAAAGATGATCCTTCATCCTTCCGACTGGAGAAGAACTTCACGTTATACCCTCAATTCATGTTCCATCTCAGACGAAGCCAGTTCCTGCAGGTTTTCAACAACTCTCCAGATGAAACAGCCTTTTACCGCCACGTGCTCAACCATGAAGACGTTAGCAACTCACTCGTGATGATTCAGCCGACCCTGGACTCCTACACCTTCGACCAGGATGGCGGCCAGCCCGTTCTCTTGGACTCGGCCTCTATCCAACCAACTCACATTCTACTTCTAGATACTTTCTTCCACATTCTCATCTTCCACGGTGAAACGATCGCAGAGTGGAGAAAGGCTGGTTACCAAGATCAAGAAGGTTATGAGAACTTTGCTGGTTTGTTGGAACAACCCAAGGAGGACGCTCGCGTAAGTTCACCCTCAATCGCTCTCAGTATGTTACTAAACTGTCTAGGATCTCATCACTGACCGCTTTCCTCTTCCTCGATTTATTGTTTGCGATGCTGGCGGCTCGCAGGCTCGATTCCTCCTGTCCAAGCTTAACCCATCTACTACACACACCACTGGTCCATATGGTGGTGTAGGAGCCACCACTGCTCAGACAATTTTCACAGACGACGTATCTCTGCAGACCTTCATGGACCACTTGATGAAGTAAGTTTGAACCCAGTAGGTTGCACATATTGAGGTGAGCTAACAAACTTTCTAGGCTTGCTGTGAGCGGTACCAATTGAGGTGGCCAACAAACGGCTGTATCGGAGACCTACTGCCATCTCAAGAAGTCAAATGGAAAATCAAGTCTTAAGATGGGGCGTAGATAGTGACGACACAGTTCTCATAAGCCCATGGTGTTAGTTAAGAGGCATTATAATAATCAAAATCCGAGCCCAGCGCTTCGTCGATCTATAATCCTAAGTACCTTACCTCACTGCACTGTGAAACTTTTACCTTCTTCGTAGTTTGCTTGTTCGACCTGGCGAGTCCAGATGTTAGCACGTGATAATCGCTGACTCAGCAGATTTAGGGCAAGTGGGTCCCACATCTTGCATTTAGTTTTGATATTTCGCGACAACTTCAAGTTTTCTTTTCGATCAACCTGCCTGTTCATTACTTCCGGCACGCAAACCTCGAGCCTCTGCCGACCTTTCACGACACAAAAATGCGTTCGTCTCACTCCTGGACATCAGGCACGGTCATCCTGCTTACACGATAAACAGCTCCCAAGTTCGATCCCAATGAGGTCAAGGTGATGTAGGTTGAATCCATTCGCAGAAGTTGGACACCTTGAAACTGACATTTTGCAGCCACCTCCGCGCCACTGGTGGTGAGGTCGGTGCCTCCTCTGCTCTCGCGCCTAAGATCGGTCCTCTTGGTCTGTCCCCCAAGAAGGTCGGAGAAGACATTGCCAAGGCCACTGGCGACTGGGTATGGTGTTCAGTCCCATTGCACATCGAAGTATACTAACAATTGTGCTCAGAAAGGCTTGCGCGTGACTGTCAAGCTCACCATCCAGAACCGTCAGGCCGCCGTGTCGGTTGTGCCCACCGCTTCCTCCTTGATCATCAAGGCTCTCAAGGAGCCTCCTCGTGATCGCAAGAAGGAGAAGAACATCAAGCACAACAAGTCTGTCAGCCTTGACGAGATCATCGAGATCGCCCGCACCATGCGATACAAGTCTTTCGCCAAGGAGCTCTCTGGTACTGTTAAGGAGATTCTCGGAACCGCCTACAGTGTTGGCTGCCAGGTCGATGGCAAGCCTCCCCAGGCTATTATTGAGGCTATTGACAGCGGAGACATCGACAGTAAGTTTTGGTACCCCCTACTTGAAATTTTCTTAAGCTAATATGCGAATAGTCCCTGAGGAGTAAATGTTTCCCACGCCTTGTTCAAAAATCCCACAAGTATGAGAAACCAAAAATAGACTCATTGATCGATGGCAGCATGACAAATTATTTCCGTCCAGTCCTTGTGTGATGTGCTTCGAAATTGTGAACCCTTGACTCACTCTGAAATCTACCATCATGCTCCGTGGTTTATTTCTATTTTTGTGCAAGGAAGAGGAACCTAGGCCCAATACTCACCGCGACATACTGGCGATAAAGCTCTTGTGGATGTAGCGGTCCATCATCATGGCCACATGATGCACAAATGTCAGATCAAAATTCCTTCCCTTTTTTTTCGAGAACATCTCCCTGCCTCTCTAGTAGACTGCACAAGCTCTCCCTCACAGTGTTTTCTTGAATAGGTAGACCAAGACATTGAGAAATATACCATCTAAGCGAATCGCAAAGAATTTGAATCGAGTCAGACTTGTAGTAAATGTAAGCGTTTACATGGCATCATGCATTACATTGTTTCCGCCATTGAAAGTGCCAGTTCTCCATAGAAGTTCACCAAGGTTCATTCAAACAGTATTGAAAGGAGCACACCTTCAGCCTGATCAACTTGTTTGCAAGACTTGTGGCTGTGAACTTATTCCGGCAGAGAGAACCTAGACCATATCAAGCTATGTGGAATTGTCAGGGTTGTGAGAAGGATCCAGTTGAGTTGAATTGATAAAGGCCGAGACTTTATCCACATGCGGCAAGTATACCAGTGATGTGGTACGATAGGCGATATCCTCAATAGTCTCGTACTGGTAGTATCTGAGGGTATTCATAGAATATCCACGGACATGGGTGGCCCCATCTCCAACCATTTCCAACGCCTCATGCTGGCATGGATGATGGATGGATCCAATGACTATCGGGACATGCTGTAGCAACCTCATAGCGCAGGGCCCATGTATGTACGTTGCATACCCTGGGTACATTGCATGCACTCAACAAGGACGGGAGCAATACTGGCCTGGGATGTACATGATCAATCTTTCAATTTGCAAGTACTTGGCTTGGCCCACACGAGTTGTTTATTATCTGTGTCAAATGCTAAATTGAAGCAATCTTTTTCTGGGGTTCGAGTTGTCGTTGGTTGGGGAAGTGGGCAGTGTAAGCATGAGTGTGGATGGATGAGAGGGAAATGGTCTGTCCGCGCTTATGGCTCAAGCCGCCGGGTTGAGAGGGGTCTCGGGGAGCAAGAAAACTTGGGTCTTCTATTCTAACTGATAAAAATGTTCAGATAGGTTTGGTCATATTTAGGACTCCTACGATTAGTTATTTTTATCCCTTGAGATATATGTCCCGAGTTTTCTTCCCTCCCATTCCATGCATGCATGCATGCATGCCCCGAGGGGCATCACACCTGTGACCTAAGGCAAAGTGGTGCGGTGCCCGAGTTTGAGGTGAGGTGAGGTGCCTACTTGTAGGATGCCTTTGTGACTCCGTCTCTCCCGCCCCAATGTGGGACGCCCAGGCCCCCCGCTGTCACAGGTTCTCCACTAACCACGGGCCTTGCTCCATTGAACCTGGCGCTAACTGCCTGGCGAGCAACAAACGTGCCCATACCTCACTTACCTAACCTACTAGCCTAGGTACCTACCTCCACTAACTAGTACCTCCACTACCGATACAGCTCTCTTCTCTTGTCAACTGCTTGTTCTGGGCTGCTTGTATTGACCTGAAAGCCTCTTTCAGCATTTACTTGACCGATATCTAGGGTTCTGGGGCTGTCATCAGACTCTGATTCCCTGTCACTGCAAACAGAAACTCTTTTGTGAGACGATGAACGCGATAGTGATTTCCCGTGCGACATGATATTCGGTCCCTCTGCGATAGAATCGATAGACACTGCTTGACAGAGTCACCTAGAAACGCCTGACCCTCTCTCTTTCTCTTTCTCTTGCTCACCAACACAAAGGCCATTCTGCTGGTTTCAAGACAGCGCAAGGCTCTCTCGCAACAGCTCGAAGTTTGTGGTTCTCTGTTGTGTCGCTGGCGCTATACTCGCCTTTCTCACTCGCCCAGATGCTCGTCAGCAATCAACTCGACACTTCAATACCAAGCGCAGCCGCCAGCCATGCTCTTTAACCAACAGGCCATGACCTACAGATTTCCATCAGTGTCTTTTGTCCTGCATTTTCAGTCAGTTTTGTTTCCTCGCCAATATACCCCGTTGTCATGTTACCTCTCCTTCAAATGTCCCCTCACGCGGTGACGCCGCCGCAGCAGTCGAATCTCGATACCATCTCAACGTTCCCAAACGCCGACGCCACTTTTAACGACCACCACCCTCGCAATGTCCCAGCGCCATATCAGCAGTCATTTGCGATTCGCACCTCTCGACCTCACCGGCACACTATCCCGTACGGCTCAGCTCTTTATCCGCCACGCCAAGAGCATCATTTACGACGAAAGACACCAAACGGTACTGTCGATGCCGGATATGACGGCTCGCCATCGTTATTCTCCCATGGCCCCCCGCCTTCGAAACATTTGGTTCTACCTCGATCAGCGACGGCTACGGCATTTCCCCTGACGGGCCCTCCAATACGCCAATCTCATTACAATGGGAGCATCGACTACCGCCGACCATCTTCGGTCGGCAATACTGGTCTCAGCGATGACCTGCAAGCCCATCCCGGATCTTCCACTTGGGCTTATGGGAGCGATACGGCATTGCATCGTGGTGCACTTCCCACTAATCATTATGGCCTTCACCAAGCCGAAGGCCAATACATTCCTCAAGGCCAGCCAGAAGCGCCCGGGGGGTTCCCTAATCTTTACCAACCAATAATACGAGCTCACGAGTACAATGTCAGGGCATTTTGCCCACCCCCTATAGTCATGAACGAATCGCTGCCTTTTGGTCAGCCAGGCATGCATACGCCATGGAACTATCATGGCCGACCTGGCCTGGTCTCGGCAAGGAACGTTCAACCGCAGGACTTGCGCTCTTTCCAGCAGCATTGTGGCTCTGATTTCGCACGTCGTTCTTCCTTTGCTTCAGGTTTTGACTCTGAAACTCAGGCTCATGCTGGATTCGATTCGAGCATGCACACACAATCATATCTCCGACCACCTCATATGAGCAGCCAACAAGGTTTCAGAGAGAAAGTATTGTTACAGGCGCACAGGGTCTACGTTGATCTGCTGGCATACGCGCAAACTATCCGGAAACCGCAGGCTTCCAAAGGAGCAGCAGGCCACAACACGTCCCCCAGGCTTCTTGTTTACCCTAAACCTCCGAAACCTTCCTTGAGAATATCTGAAGCCGCACTTGGGCAAGATCCTACCTTATTCAACAACTCTTCCGAGAATGATTCGTACCAATACTTCCAGTCAAGGGGACATGTGGTACCCTACTTCCAGGGGCCGTATAACAGCTATTCTTCCACGGGCAATTCAACACTTTTCGCGGCAGCAAAGTCTATTTTAGATATGCTCAGCAGTCTTTGCGAACAGAGTACCTGGAGCTGGATCGATGGGATAATGCTAGGGGGGTGTTTGCATTATGGTCTAGATCAATATCAAGAGGCATTGGAATGGTTCTCGAGAATTACCGCCCTTGACTCGAGGTAAAACTCTTCTCCCACGTGAACTGTCAAGTGGCTGTTCATTGTTCTGACTCTTTCGCAGTCATGTCGAGGCAATTACGAATAAAGCCGCCACTCTTTACTGTCTCGGTCGCCAAGACGAGGCCGAGAAACACTGGATCAGAGCTGTGGAAGTGCAGCCTAGTTACTTGGAAGCTGTTGAACATCTTGTTGGACTTCTTTACAAAAAGCGCAGCAAAGAGGCCGTCGAGATCATCGACCATGTTCAACGGTCTCTAAGGGTATTGCCGGTAGGTAAACCATCAGAAACGATTGGCAGTAGCCAGCATGCTATATACTATAGGCCTTAGCAGGGTGCATAGCGACTGTATTGTGGGAATACTAACATGAGACAGGCACATAATCAGCAAGCCGGATCTCACGACCAACTAGCGAAACCACCTGGCTTCGCGTCCAGTGGCTATGCCATTCATGGGAAAGAGAATGGGCGTGTCCTGGCTCTCATACACGCAAAGGGAACCATGCTATACAGTCTGAAAGATGTGAACAGAGCATCAGAGGCTTTTGAAGAGGCCGTCTTGATCAGCGTAGGTCGCCAAATGACTAGTATACAGGATCTTGTTCGTCGAATCCAGACTGCCTTATCTCCAACAGAAACTCCAGTCTCGCATAGGAACGCTAGGCACGGTACTCGGCCCTTATTACTCCCCCCTGAAAGGGCTCGTCACACTGCACAGCTCGTCTTCGGCGGCACCGGTTCTCTACCTGGACTGCAGCATGTAGCTGAAGGCTCAACCAAGCGAGCTGCTGTGCAGACCACCAGCAATTCGCTGTTATCGTTGGCTAAGATATTCCAAGATTCTTTGTCAAGTGGGCAGGGAGCCCCGAACATTCTACGACGCCCTTCTGGGGTTGAAGATATCCTGGCCCTTTACTATCTATCGCTTTCACTTCAGGAAAGCCCTTCCACGGCTAACAATGTCGGTATCCTCCTCGCCGGCGTTCAACAGATAGCTTCAAATCCCCCAACTCCAAATGTTGAGGTACCTGCCCATTCGAGCATCCCCGGCATAGTGCCAGGCAGCGGTCTGGCTTTGGCTTTGGCGTACTATCACTATGGCCTACGCCTGGATCCCAAGCATGTCCATTTACACACCAACTTGGGAAGTCTGCTCAAGGACATTGGACAATTGGATCTCGCGATACAAATGTATGAACAGGCCGTGGCGTGCGATGGGACTTTTGATATCGCCCTGACAAACCTCGCCAATGCTGTCAAGGATAGGGGACGCATCAACGATGCAATAACGTATTACAAACGCGCTGTGAGCTCCAACCCCGAATTTGCCGAAGCCGTATGTGGTCTTTCTACAGCGCTCAACTCTGTTTGTGACTGGAGAGGTCGCGGTGGTGTTATTTTGAAATCCGGGAAATACG